AGTTCTGGTTTAGTCCTGTTTTAGTCCTAGTTCAGTCGTGGATTAGTCCTCCTCTTCAGTCCTGGAATCAGTCCTGGGTTAGTCCTAGTTTAGTCTTGGTTCAGTCCGTAACGTAGGCAGCGCAAAAGTTTGATATAACCTCGGGTTAATGGGCAGGTGCGGTCCTGTACTGCGCAGGTCCAAAAATGGACACGTGCAGTTCTCTGCGCTGTTGGCTCCATTATGGAATAAATTAATCTTCAGTTTGTTACATAAAGAAGGAGGAAAATAACACAAGGACGACAGCAGCAACAAGTTTTAAGAAGGATGTAAAAAGGGTTGCACCTGTCCTGTCTGAGTGTGTACAAAGTTTGTGCTGAGGGGTTTTACAGCCTTAACACAGATATAATCATTGTAAAATATAAAGTTGATACTTCGCGGATTTCATCTATCGCGGGTTATTTTTAGAATGTAACTCCCGCGATAAACGAGGGACACTGCACCCTCACCTCCAACCTGTGCACATGGACTCACACTTGTCCCGACCGGGACGGAAAACGGAGAATTTCTTGTACAAGTCATTGTTAAATGCGCATTTATGCTTCGGTATGTTGCAGACTGACCGACTGTTTGTGTCTCGCTCCTTCTGAGTCACAGACGCTACGAGAGACGCTCAGTTTAATGCCCCTAATGAACGGTACTGAAAACCTGGACATTTGCATCACAATTTGCATCAAAAAACCCGGAAAAAGCCCCGGACAGGACGCAAAATACGGACATGTCCGGGGAAAAACGGACGTTTGGTCACCCTACTATACATTAATAATAATATTAAAAGTCATCAGTTACCGTCAAAAAGTGCGGTGATACCTGCCGTGTCCCAGAAGAGAAAGGCAAGAGAAGCGGGAGAATGAGACAGGTGCGGTCCTAGCGTAGATGTTCTTCTTTTGGGAAACACACACAAAATAAACGAAATTCTAAATTATCCCAATGGGAGTTTCTCAGTTCCCAGGATCCTTCCTCTCGAAACCACTCCGTATCACTCTTCTAGAGTAGGCTCCTCTAAAATAGGCTCCTCTAAATTTTTTAGAAAAATTCTGCTCACAGCTCTCAATTCTACATAAAGTCCTGTCTGCGCAGCGGCCGCTGTGTGTGGCTCCGGACCACGCACGAAACAAGAGGGCGGCGCGTTACTCTAAAAAAAAAAAAAAAAAAAAAAAATTATATATATATATATATATACCCTATGTATATATGTGCTGCATCTAGGAGACTTTCAGATGGTACTTCACATAGCCTCTGTAACCGGCATCGGGGTTGCCTTGTGCTCATTCGGGCCATGATCATTCGGGCCATGATCACACACATTTTTTTTTTTTTATATATATATATATGATTTGTTTTGTGTAAATAATGAAAAGATATACCCAATATATTTTTAGCATGTGTTCAAAACATTAAAAAGTGACTTACCACATTCCAGTTATTACGAACAGTGTAGTTTCCCTTCATAGCAAATTTACTTCTGTCGCTCTTTATATTTCACTTTTAATGCATCCTGAAAAGAAAAAGAACAGAATTGTGCACGCAGTCGTATCAGCAAACTAAATAACTAAAGCAACAGTCCGCTTCCTGTAAAAATGTTCACATAACCAGCCCCTTAATACTCCAGCTGCTAAAAATACAGCTATAAATGTTTAAAATGTAATCAAAATGCAAAATGCTAACGCGCTAAAAACACTCCAGAGCAGCAATCATGTATGGAAAGCCGATAATGCCACATTTACGCATTAGACACTCGCTTTTCGATATAAATTTCCCTGCAAAATACGCCGTTTGTCAAATATGACTTTTTTTCGCCGAAAATTCAGCAAAATGCGCCGCTTTTTACGCCACAATTATGTTCTAGAACAGGGGTCGGCAAACTTTTTACCATGGAGTGCCAACTGAAAAAGTATAAGCCTCTGAAAGTGCCACCACTAAAGACCTGGCCCAGTATGGGGTATAAATATGATGCAAAAACATTTTAATATGAATTATTTTATGCTTTATTAACACACATTATTGTTTAAATTGTGCTTCTCAATGTGTAACTCAACTCAATATTTGCAACTTTGCATATTCAAAGAAAAGCTGTGCCATATGCCTATCATACTTAACTTGTAATACAAAGATACCAGAAACAAGGTATTCTACAACAAAGATTAAAGAACATTCATTACTCTCTTATTTAAAACAAGCAATAAACAGCAGGTAAAACATAGGTTAAAATACAACTGTACAGAGTGGAACTTTAAAACATAATAATAGAACTAAAAAATATTCAGTGAGAACCGTGACACTGCATGTCTTTGCTTAGCTTTGTGATTTGCACATCATAGCACACATGATTCAGAGTGGTCTATGTGTAACTGGCTGCGAAAGGGAGGGTGCAAATGTCTGCGCATGACATACGGCCAAATACAGACAGGAAGTGTCAGGAAGTGAAACAAAGGCAGGCTGTTTGGTACTGTGATATCTGTGCTTTTGAGTTCTTTACACATCTCTCTGAACTTTGTCACCCACAGTGCAGTTTTTCAGATCCATAACTACAACTGCAGGTGTCTGAAGTAGTTGTAAGTAGCAATGTTTCCAGTTTAGAAATAAAGACAATCCACGTTTCAAACAGCGCTAAAACTGTCTTTCCTCCACCTTGTAGGTGCACATGAAGTTCATTAAAATGTCCCGTGATTTCCGTGAGGAACATGAGTTTTACAATCCATGTCTTATCATTCACCTCTTGGTACTGCTCTCCCTTTTATATCAAAAAAGTCTTAATGCAGTCAAAGCAGCCGACAAATCGCTCCAAAACCTTTCCACAGCTTAAGCACGTCACTGATGAGTGAAGCGGTAGGTCGCCGTACGTGCAGTCCAGTTAAGAGCACCTAGCTTGTTTTCCGTACCTCGAAACTGCACGTTTTATATGCTCTGAATTATCTTTGAAAGTCTTCTCGTGTTTTGACTTGATCTCTGACAGACAATAGTTTCACAGCACAAAGTGCACACAGCGCGGTCTTTTTTAAAAACAAAACCAAACTCTTCTGTCCACCCAGGCTGAAATGTCCTGCTTTTAGCTTTGGACAACTCAGCCATGACTGCATCTTCTGAAGAAACTAATCGGGTCAAATGAAGCATGACGGTGCGTCGCGGGAAGAGCGTGAACGCGCACAGTATCTTACGGGCTCTGGTAAGTGATTGCAGCACCAACTCGAACACGCGCCTTCAAAATGCCTGCGCTTGCCCCGTGTGACACACGTGCTTAGGTTTTCCGATCCCTGCATTAAAATACCTCTGAGCGCTTTACATTTGTAGACGCACTGACGCTTATTAAAAACTGGCTCTAACTACATTAGAGGAAAGGAACAGATAAAACTCTGGGTTTTATCACGTTCGATATGGCACTTGACATTGTTTTATTTTACTTTTTTGGGGCTTAATCTTTTCAGACACTTTTGGTGTAAACTATTTAGATTTTTTAAATGATTTTAACCCTTTAAATGACATTTCTTATAAAAGGACCAAATTTTGTGTTCGCAAAAACAAATGTTAACACCATTTGGTGCTGTTTTCTTACAGTCTGGTAAAGGTCAGTCATTGGCACCAACATGACTTTTTGTGCATTGATAGATATTGTGTAGTGTGAAATCCGTTTTTACTGTTAAGTTCGTAAAATGTGCACCGAATGTGAACATTCATTAAAAAAAAAAAAAAAAGAAGTTGTATAAAGTTGTATTCATTATTATAGTGGATGGGCTCATCCTTTTCAGCTTCTTCTGCACTAAATATTGATTGTAGTTCTTAATGTTTGAACCCGTTTAAATGTCATTTTTGTTTTGTATCAACTTCAAAATGTGAAATACAAAGCAAATTATTTTGAGCACTTTTATTGCAGTCTGAGGCAAGTCAATAATTGGCAGCAAAAGTAGTTAGTAAATTGTTATTTTTTGTGTAATTTCTATCTATTTAGATATCAAAAAAGCATTTTAAATACATAATTGCATTCAAAACATGTCACACCATTAACAGCTACACATTATGAATTCAGCAGTAAAATGTTCATTTTTTTGTTTTGTAGTTTTGTAAAGAGATACTGTAACTAAATATGAAGTTAACATTATTTATTTTCACAAGAGGACATGGTTTACTTTTTCAATTTGTTTACTAAAATCATTAACTAGATTTAGACCAAAACTAGTGAATGATTTAGAACTACTAAAACTAGGTGAGACCAAGATCCCCATAAGACAGGTCAGGCCGCTGATTAAAGTGAAGAGGAGAGAGACACTTGTGGTGTAATCAGGTGCTCAGCGAGAGGCCCTCTTTCTAGATTCCTCTGGTAACGGTCCCATTTTAAGCAAAACTGACACTTTTATCATTTTAGAACATTGGCATCTCCTTAAAAACACCCAGATTTGTTTTATTTCATTCACACTTATTTGAGTGACCCTGCATTATTGGGCCAGCTACATCTCTAAAGCTCAAAATGCTCTGTGCCACTTTGTGATGTAATTAAGTGGTTGTTTTAAAATAATAAAGTATACAATAAAACACAATAACAATCATCCATATATACAATCTATAACAGAAGTGCTACCGGGACAATAAGATAAAATTAAATAGAGTAGTAAGTATAGTATATAATGTCTAATATAATATGTAATATAAATATAATATAAAATGTCTAATATAATGTCAGACTGTCCAGTGTGCTGTGGGGGTGGTCTCCAAAATGGACCTGATCTTCTCCAAGACCCTCTGGTCCATCACAGCTGTGAGAGTCCTCCTCCTCCTGAACACAGCACTGGCCTTTTGGATCAGTTTAAACCTGAGTCCTGGTGTCACTGGTGCCATTGTCAGACCCACAGATCTGTAACCGTACATACTGTGATCCAGTGAGGTAACCCACAATCCAGGGCAACAGACGAACATCTGTCTGCATCCAAGCCCAGGTCGAGTCTGTTGAAGTAGTTTGAATTGGGTGGGCTTGTCTGTAGCTACAGCCGGCGCTGCCAGAACCACTGCCAGTTTCTCCTGGAGAGAGCAGCGAGTTGAATTATTGGTTTAGCCACAAAGATGAACAAGGAGCTGATTCCGTCGGTTATCATCTGCTTCAGGTCCTTGCTTTCTGCTTGTTTTCTGAGTTCTGATGAATCTTTCACATTGTCAACATACCACCGGTACTGTTTTTGTTTCTTGTCAGATGTGTTTGGAGCCAGCAGGTCTCTGCTGCTGCTCCCGTCTCGAATAAAGAACTGCTTTTTTTTTTTTGTCTCAGCATCAACCGTGTGAAAAAGTTTGTCTTTGCACATTTTATGATGAGGAACTATATCTACCTCAATCACAAACTTTCCAGAGGGTTTCGAATTCTTGGTGAGAACTTCCACAAATCGAGGAGGTCTGAAGCATCTTTCTGCTGTGTTTATGTGCTTAAACTCAAAACGCTCTTTAATAGCAATCCTTAGTTTTTTATCATATATTTCTCTTTCATTGCTGTGAACTGGAACACCACAAATTTCTCCATGTGGGTCGTTTAGTATTCCAAAATGTATTGTGCCATTGGTCTGTCTGTTCATACAAGCAGCTCCAAAGCGGATAACTTCATCTACAAACTTTTTGATTTCTTTTCTTTTAAAGGCTTTGAATTCATGACAGGGCTCAATTAAATCTGATGGACCCGATTCTGCTACACAGAAAGTGTGTCCCTCAGTGTAAGAGACGGAGGCAGCATGCTGACCAAACTTGTGGGGTTTGCATAGTATTTGTTTGGCTTCTATCATCTTATCACTTGCATTAACAATGTCTTTGGTTGATCCAAATGTTTCTGCCATTTGATTCAAGTCTTTGGTATCTAAAAGTTTAAGGCTTGCCCAAGTGATGTCCCGGTTGGAGTATTTCAACACACTCAAGGTCAACTCCTTGTTGTTGGTTGTTCCAGTTTTTTCATGTTTGGAGAACGGCCCAGGTTTTCAGTCTGAGGAAAACAAAACCAAAGTTAATTTAAATACAGAGTGCACTGTTGAGGCAGTAATCTGGACATGGAAGGAAAACCATTTCACCATAATCTGTGGGCAATAATCTATTAACCACCTCTGAATATTGTTTCAGCTCAAGACAGTTTCTCAAAGTGTGGGGTGTGTCCGTTTGAGGGACACAGAGTCACACCGGGCATTACGCACATACACACGACGAACAAACAGCACGGGGTTTAAATTCATATAACAGGGTAGACTTATTTGACTAAAACAAACTTAAGATCATTGTATTTAAGATTTTGCTAAAAATATTAATTTTTTATTTTTTTTTCCCTGATTGGCAATTTTTTTTAGGGTTGAAATTTTACTTCCTGGATGGAAATTATGATTCGTGACTTTACACTGTTCACTGGTTCAAAACTCCTCTAATGTACTCATAAATTATTAAGAAAACACCTTTATTTTGAATTTATTTAAATGTATTTGAAATCGTGTTTAAATATCAGTAAAATGTGCAAATAGTGCTGAACTTTTGGACAGAATTCTCCCAGTCTGTTGTAGTTAATGTGACTCTATAACAGATTTAAGTTTTGTAATGTAACATAGGAGAAACTGACTCAGAACCAAACAAAGGCAAATGTAGCTTATACAGAATAAAACAAAATCTCTTAAACGTTTTTTTTTTTTTTTTTTTTTTTTAAAAACCCAAAACTTATCCAGTGTGACAGCACGTCCAGGTCTCCCGTATTTACAACAGGGACGCCTATTATCCCACCAACTTAAAAGGTGAACTATGTTACTAATGTTTTGGTTGAGGTTTCACCTGCTTGTTTCTATGGATATGTCATTGGTTTGTCTGGAAAGTTCCACAGTATGACATTAAACAGCTCGACTTTACATTTATTCAATTACAGGTGGTTTACAGATCAAATATACGTAAGAAAAAAACAAAACAAAACAACAGACATTGTGACTGTGAGCGGGTCGCCTCTGCACAGATCTGGCTTGGTTTCCATGAAGATAGAAAGCTTTAATGCCACTGTGACACTTTCCAGACAGAGTGATAACATCACCACAGAGAAAATAATTTGACGGGCCCTCCTCCAGAAAAGTTACACAATGCACCTTTAAGTCAAAATTAAAGAACGATAATACATGGACATGTCTGGGGAAAAACGGACGTTTTGTCACCCTAAAATAAAAAAAAAAAAAAAAAAAAAAGGATTGCACATTGACTAGATAGAAACATGAGTGAAATGTAGGCCTATTTACAGCAGTAATATTGTTCACAGAGCATCTCGGTTTCGCAAAATATGTCGTTTTGATAAAAAAAAGATAAGTGCCACTTACTGCGCGCACCTCAGAAATAGCTGCCTTTGTTGTCTGCTGTTGGCTGCTGCTGTCTCGAAGGCCGTTCCGCAGCCCCTCTCGCCGTGTATTTCCCAGTAGGGAAAGAAGTCAACATTCCTTGTCCTACTTACGTAACGTAATTAATGAATGAAATAATGAATATTTATTCGGACAGTAATACATAGAACATAAATGAAAAAAAAGAGCCCAAGACCGCGGCTATAGCTGGGTGCCGGTGTCCTCCGTCCACTTGTTGCTCGCTCTGCCTCCTCTTCGTTTCATGTCTTACACTAGACTGTTCCTGTGGTTTTATACTAGAGGCGGAGCCTTTTGCAGTGGAAGTTGGTCTGTTTTTTTTTTTTTTTTTTGCAGGAGGATGTGGTGTGAACTATTAGATTCAGATTCAGATTCAGAAAACTTTATTGATCCCATAAGGCAATTCTGAGCAAACACGAACACAAACAAACACACAGTGTGTCAGTCCAATTGTCGTCCACCAGTGGAACTCAAAATAAATAACAAATTGCAGTGTAAAACTTTCATAAAACTATCATAAAACTGTACCCTTAGAATTTAATAATTTAATAGCACAGGGCACGAAAGAATTAGAAAACCGGTTGGTTTTCTGTATTGGAGCATAAAACCGACGCCCTGAAGGCATCAGGATAAAATCAGGAGCCAGAGGATGGAGCGGCTGAGCCAGGAGACACTTGGCTTTGCTCAGCACCTGCTCCTCCCACAAAGAGCGCAGGTCCCTCAGTTTAATCTCTGTGATTATTAGGTTTGTTATTTCTGGCGGCTTATTATTTAACCTTTGACACCCACAGGGACCAGTACCAACGTAGGCAAAAATTGTAACTCAGAGATGGGAGGAGTGAAGTGAGAGATGAAGGGGCCATTGTCTCTAACTGCAATACACCTTATTTTTTTTCAACGATGAAAAAAAAAGTTTCCAAAATGTACACAAACGGTCCCTGTGGGTGTCAGAGGGTTAAATAATAAGCCGCCAAAAATAACAACCGTAATAGTTCACACAATTGCCATCCTCCTGCAATAAAACCAGACCAACTTCCACAGCAAAAGTGTATAACTTTTCTGGCAGAGGGCCCGTCAAATTATTTTCTCTGTGGAGATGACACAGCAAAAATGCGGCCGAAGATTCGCCGCGGATCATATAACTAATACTAAAACTACCAGCTGGTGTATTTATAGGGCTAATTAGATAGCATTTGGGACACTATACTTCATGCTACATTAACTACATTAAATATTAGAATGTTAGTAACACTACAGAGCCGACACTGAACCCCATGCCGAGTTTCATAGCAGCGGAGTCACCAGTATGCCCTGGTTGTGCTACAACCCCACCCATTTCTAGAATAAACACATAGCCTATATATTCTAACAAAAACATATTTTAGCACATTATATTTAATATTTCTTCAGGTAGGTTTCAATAAGATTTGTCTATGAGATTTCTTTCTACTGTGTGTTATTATTAAATTTATTGTAGATATTATAAATATAATGAAAGATGATAAATAACCATCAAAAATGATTTGATGAATAATTTCACTCAAAATAGAAATAATTAATTAAATAACAAACCTATGCTTCGACATTTACACATATACAGTTATATATAGATATTATATGTACCATCTTGGATATTTTTGGTGACTAACGGGCTTTTCATAAAGACCATGTTATTATCTATCTCCACTCCAAATTTTGTGCTTGTATCACAAACAGAACGATTATTTCACAGTTCCACTACATGTGAAAACCGCAGTGCTCTGACTCTTTTCCTGTTTCTTACACTGCAGTATCGCGTGAGCCCACATAATTACCAAAGACGTTGTTAGAGATGAAAGCAGCAGCGAAAACCTGCTGGCCCAAAACACATCTGACAAAAAATTAAACGCCACTAGTGATTTGTTGAAAATATTAAAGATTTATCAGAATTCAGAAAACAATCAGAAGAGAAGCACCTGATAAACAGCTACAAACTGCAAGAATTTAAGTTCTATAAGAATATTTATAATATATTACATACTTAAAATATCCAGAAAATATAGAATACGGTATTCTATATTTTCTGGATATTTTAATAGTACAATATAACAATATTGTAAAATAGTAATATTGCTAGAGTAAAATGTATAATATTGGTAAGTATAATATTATCATTTATTAGAGTAAAATGATGGTAGAATAATTCCAGTATTCATAATGTTGGAGTAAATTCTACTCTATTTGGTAGAGAATGCAGGTAGAGTAACTATTTCTCTTCAAATGACAGTATAATTTAATCATTTACGGTAAAATAAATGCTCAAAATTGAGTACAATTTACTCCCAATTATTTACTCTTTTGCAAGAGTAAATTTTACTCTTTTTAGATACACTGTAAACCCAAATTTTCTTTTACATATTAAGCCATGCTAATATTACTAATCTTTTTAATATTTTGCAAAAGGCGGGACCATTACTAAACAAAGTGTGAACTGTAAACTATTTTAAACTAGTATTTGCTGTACTAATGGCTCTGAGTGGAGACGGCTCACACTTGTATGGTTTTACCGGTGAAGGGAGAGGCTTGGCACCTGAACACTACCAAACTGCACCAAACCACATCTGACTTCTGCTCGGACTGTTGGCTGCAATTCAGCGTCAGTCTGCTTTATCATCACATGGTAAGTGAATAAATATGGTTTCTGTTCCCGTAAGAGTGAATAGTTGGAATCATTGGTTGACACTTGCAGCTAAATAAGGCTAACGTGAAGTTCACTTGTGGTCACGTTGTGCTCGTTATCATCTGTTAGCCGCTAACAGAGAACAGCTAATGCTAACAGTTAAGGCTGTGTGAGGCGGTAGAGATGAACGGAGGGCGAACTCCGCGACTAAACCGCTGCTCGTGCGGATGACGCGACGAAAAATACTGTTTTAATTAAACTCGGGCGGGTGGCGGTTTAACGACGCATGGACCCATAGAACTCCTCACGGGCGCCGTGTCTTCTCATGTCCACTGTGTGCACCGCGCCTCAGAACTAAACCAGGTCTAAAACCAAGACTAAAACAGAAGAGCGTCTCCTCCTGTAGGCCGCGCGAATCGAATTTTAGAATGAATGTATAGAGTTGGTGTTTTTTTTTGTTTTTTTTAATCGAGACTCGTTTTCGTTGTTTGCTATATGATTGTTCTAAAATCTAAAATCGTGGGTGCAAATCGAGAGTTTGGAGTTCAAGTTTTTAGATTATCACCACAAAATTTCATATAAGCTTTGGTTGGAATTAAACACTAAAACATATTTTCTGTTTTACAGGTGACTACCCAACATACTGTGAGTTCAGCTGAGATAAGAGAGGTTACTACCTCAGACACTACAGAACACAAATTTCTTTTTTTTCTTTTTTTTTTTAGATTTGTCTGGAATTCAAAAGGATTGTGGGAAAAGACCTGCACCAGGAATTTTATTCTGCCCTTGATAACCACACTACCCATTTTCTTGAAAGTTTTAAAGCTAAGAGGGGCAACATGTGTGACAGTTGGCACAGCTTTTGCAGCAAATGCAGGTAAAACTTTTGTAACCCGGATAAAAATACATGTGCAGTAAAAGCATAAGTTCATAACATAGTTAATCTAAAATGGATAAAAAGATAATTCATTTTTATTAAAATACATAGTTCATGTTGATCGTTAAATGTATATTTACAAAAGTGTTTGCGTCTCTGTATATTTCTTTTAACTTATCATACAGTATCAATTTTCTGTCTTACAGTCACTGGATTCTACTGAAAAAAGGACAGTCACACTAAGAGAGCTTCCTTACTTACTCGGAGACAATCCCACTGAATTCTTCAAATCTAGAAGCTTTGTAAGTGTACATTTTGTTTGTAATGTGAAACTTTTAGAATGTGACATTTATTGTATAATTTGAATATGCCAAAACTGACAAGTAGTCTATACATTATGAGCTTCAGCCATTCCATGAATATTATTTATCTTAAAGTCAGATTATTATTGATTTTCAAATATTTGTTTGAACATTTGAAAATGCCTGACCAAATAGTTATCATGTCAGCATAAATTGAATTTCATACAATTTATGTTTTGTCATTCTTATTGAGTCTGTTGTAGTTCAGTAATTTCATTCACTAATGGTTAAGTTTCTGGCATTAATGTTTTTGTTTTTCTTTAGGATGGTGATGAATCCTTTCGCCAAATGGACATTCGGATCTTGTTAGTAAATCTGATGGTGTCTCTCTTCCAACACCAGATCTTCACCCAAAGCAAATGCTGTTACAGGGAACAAACAGAAGACTGCACTTTATTCAGGTTTAAGCATGTTATTATTGCACTATTTTTGCAATAAATTTGTGAGAAAAAAAATGTCATTTTATGTCAGTTATTAAAAAAATAATATGATGTATAATTTGCATCTAATTATTATAATTAATAAACATATTCAATAAATATCAGAAATACATACTGCTAAAAATAAGTAATAATTACTGTAATACACAAGTAATGGTTAGTTAATTACTTGTAAACATTAGTTTTAGAAACTTAAGTTCTTTAGTAATGGGTTATCTTGGACAGAAGACTTTATGTAAACAGAGCTTGATTTGTTTAGTTTTTGATATTGTAAAAACTAGACATCCCAGTGCAATCACTTACCACGCGCGGTTTTAGTAATGATTACTAATTTGGGTTTACAGTGTAGAGACCAAATATAGTTTTGTTTGTTTTTTAGAGAAACGCGCCGCCCTCTTGTTTCGTGCGTCTCTCTAGTCACCACGTGGTCCGGAGCCACACACAGCTGCGGCGGCCTGTGATTCGCCTGTGCGGCCGCTGCAAGCCGAATCACAGGCCGCCATGTCTGCGGTCATTCAGGGTCCGGGAATAAAAACCTTGGCCAAAACACTCCCAGTAATCGTCGGAAACAGTGCAACTCCGAGTCTTGCCCACACCCCTCCTCCAGCCTGGCCAGACAACAAGCCCACGTCTCTGCCGTAACAGGCCTCGCTCCCTGCTCCGCAGCCTCTCGTGGGTGGGGAAGGGGCGCTCGAAAAACTCCATCGACAACAAAAAACGTTTACAACATTCTTTTTAAACTAAAATAAATAAAAACCATGAATTTGTCTTTTAAATGTTATTTATATTTTTATCATGTTATTTATAACTGTTTAAATCAAGTTTTAAATCAAATTATTTATTAGTATTTATTGACCCTTTTTACTTTTTATC